ACCGCGCAAACCCCCCCGGTGCCGACCAAGCGGCGGGTGGGGAAAGGGCGGGGGGGCCGAGCGAACAACGGAGCGGGCCACGGCGAGTCGCTTGCAGGAAGCTTTTCTGCCACCAACCCCGCCCGAGACCTCTGACGATTAAATCGTCCTTGGCACCGCTTTCCAGGATCGACGAATCGCTCCCGCGCGACCTTGAGCTCCAGGCCGATGACGTGGGTCTGGTCTCCGTCCCCAGCGGCCTCGAGCCTGACGAACGTCTGTTCTGGCGGGTGGTGGCAAAAACGCCCAGCGGCATGAGGAAAGAAAGCGTACTCCAGGATGCTGGCACCGCTCCCAAGATTCCCATGCAGCAGAAGTAGCAGATCCTGCTCTGGCAAATCCGCGGGCTTGAACTTCGCCGAAAAGGAAGCGAATCCAGCCAACAATCGAAGGTACGCCCGCGCCTTGCTCAAAGAATTTGTGTTGCTGCAAAGCGCACCACAGCACTTTGGGTAGGCGACGCGCTCTGGGAACTGGAACCGTGGAGGTGCCAAAACGTACCCGTTCGTCACCTCCCTGAACTCGGCCTCGCAGGCGCTCAGAGTATTACTCTTGAGCGCTCTCTTCAATGAGGGGACCGTCAAAGGATAGTCACCTGATGGGAAAGTGGGCGCCCGAGAAGCTATGGCCTGGGCGGCGCCAGTGAACAACGCGAACTTATCCGATTCCAGGTGCTCCACCTCTGGCTCCGCCGCGTTCAGATTGGCGGCCAGCGCCCAGTGCCTGCAGCGAGGAGCCCCGCACTGGCACGACTCCAGAAGACTGGAAAAATGCTCGCCGGCGTGGTCTTGCCTGAACGCGCCGCGGGAAGCGGCGAAGGTCGAGGGCGCGAAAACCTCGGCCTGGCGGCATTCTCTGTCTCGCTTCCTTTTCTCTCTGTTCTGCGCCGCGGCCGCCTTCATCAACTCGGACCGCCTGCCATACTCCGCCACAGCCTCCGGGGTGAGCTCGGCGAACTCCCGGTCGATGCGGTCCTTGGTGTCCTGGGGGCGGGGCAGAGCAAAGCGACCGTACCCCGCCTGGGCAACGAGCCCGCGAGTTCCCTGCCCCAGCACCCCCCCACTCCCCCCCGCGGTGTGGGGGTGCTGGGGCAGGGAACGCGCAGGCTCGGTGCACAGGTGGGCCAAACCTTCCTCCCCGCCCTTCCCCAGTCCGAGTCCTGGAGAACGGGATTCACGCGCTCGTCGCGCGCGGTGCAACCTGCGTGGAAATCAAGGATGAATAAATCCTTGGGGTTGGGCGCCCGCACCCTGCCTGCCGCGCGGCCATCGCCGCCACCGACGGCCCCGCCGTCGCCGACGGCCTGGCGAGCCGGAGGCATTTGGCGGCGGTGAAGAAGATCGCGGCGTCGCCGAACAGCACCGTGTAGGACGACTGCCTCAGAACAAACGCTCCGAGCCACCATCTGATGCATAGAGCTCAACCCGTTGTTGTTCCCAAATTGGCGGTTGCGGCCGTGGCGCCACTCGACGTCAGCGACTTGCAATGTGAGGACGCGGACCAACACCCTCAGCCTGGCCAGCCACTTCTCTGTCAGCAGCTCCCTGGAGGACGCCAGCGCAGAGGCCACCTTCCGCGCGAAGCCCGGGTGCAAGCAACACTCGGGCGTGCGGAAGAACTTCTCGGCCAACTGTTCCCGCTCCGCTGCGGAGAAGCGGTCGTCGCACAAACGAACGAGGCCCCAAGGGAACCGCCTCGACGGGCAATAATGCCGGCGAAATAATGCGCAATCCAAAGCGAGAAGCAATCTGCGGAAAAGGCGGATGTCCTCGGGGTGCTTGCCAAACCAATCTTGAAGGGACTCGCGCTGCCGAATCCTCCACAGCAGCACCGGGCGCGTGGCGCGGCCACTGAGCAAAGTTGAGATGTACTGCCTCGCGTGGACGACAGGGTTAAAGCGGTCGTTGAAGAAATCTAAGACAGCAGGGCGCCCGCAGGGATCCGGACACTCACGCGCCCGTCTCATGAGCCAAGCCGACACGTGCCGCACAGGTTCCAGCACTATGCCGAGCATCACTATGCATCCGACCGAGGCCTCGCTTTTCAGCATGTCCAGCGCCAAGCGAAATCGTTTGCCCTGCAGCGCCGAAAAATCGGCCTCAAACTTGAATTGGTCATCAGCTTCATGGTCATCCCTGCTGGGCGGAGCCTTGAACTTCAAGCTCTCAAAGCACACGGGGAGGACGCGATGAGCCAGGAGCCCAAACACCAGCACATCCACGCAAGGCCCAAGTTTGGTCCACTTGTTCACGGAGGGCACCAGTGGCATATGATGGAGCACTGTTTTCGTAATCGCCGGGGCGAGCTTCGCCACGTGCTCTGCGAGCGTCGTGCACTCGCACGCCCCACTGCAGAAGTGCTGGACGGCGTAAGGGGACCACCAGCACCCGTTCATCACAGCCCTGAGCTCTCTCAGGGATTTGACATACGCATCGAAACCCTTATGCTTGAATTCCCGGTCATCGTCAATGTCGGCGCCCCACTGGTCCGCGTCGGTGTCCTCGCCCGGGTCGCCGTCGAAACCGACGTTGGCTAACCAGTGGTGTTTCCGGGCAGTAGTAACTGCAAACCGCATGTAATTACACATCATGTATTGGCACACCTCCCTGCTGAACTCGGCGGCACCTGCCGGGGGCGCGCCCGCGCGCACCTGTACCCTGTCGTCGGCTAGCAGCGCGGGGAGACTTCTCTTCATGCGCAACCAAGCTGCCCCCCCGCGCAACAACAAGGCCAAACTATACAACCTGGATATCAAGTGGAACGGAGCATGGGATATAATTGTCGTCACGGATACTTCGCATAACTGGTTTTGGTGGAGGCTACAGTACCAGTGGTCATGATGCTCACCCGCAGCGACGTTTGCGAATTGAACTGCGCTCAACATCTGGTTCGGCATCGCAGCATCTGTCTCCCCAAGTGAAACAGTGAAGACCGCTTTCTGCATCAAGACGTTAATGCCCCGCCAAATCCTTGCAAGCATTGGGTGGGTGTACAACACTTTGAAGATCTGCGAAGCCGCCGTGCTGGCAACGATCAGCGGGGGCATCGCCACGCCAAACTCGTACACCTCCTGTCCCCAACAGATGACAATAAACATCCTGGCGGCCATCACTTGATACGTGGACGGTTCCCTCCCTTCTTTTGTCACAAGCGAAAGCTGTTGGCCAGTTTCGTCCCAACTCAAGCGGAAACCAAAAACATCAGGAGGGACAAGAGTTGCTCGAACGACAAGACATCCGATAATGACCAACTGCACCTGCAAATACACAGCTGCAAAAAAACATCGCACGCGGCGAATTGTCCGCCGGTCTACTTTGAACTGCGCTGCCAGATCGGATACTCTGCGAATGGGGCTAAACGCGCAGACTTGCCCAGCGGCGAGGCTCAGCTTCCTGCGCCACTTATTGCCCCCCTTGACCTCGCAGTTGTTCGACAGCGCCACATCGGCGTAGCGCTGCTTCAGGTCCGCGAGCTCGGTGCTCTTCTGGGCCGCCTGCTTCCAAGCTTTACCTTCGCGCATGCGGGCTGCCACCAAGTGCCTCTCCTCCTGGGAGCCATGCCGCCCTCGACCACAACTGACGCTGGTCTTCAGGGATGTCTTTTGTATCTGGGCGGGGGGCGTCTGTCGTTCAACGACAGATGGCCCTAGGGCAACCTGCAACTCCTGAACACTGCCAGTCGCACCGCCGTCTTCATCGTCGGTGAACTCTTCAAGCTGCATGGCAGGGCAAGGGGCCTCCTCGACCTCGCTGTCACTGAACGCCTCCAGTTGCGAGGGCGGCATGCGAGCAACGCGTGCTGGGATACAAAAGGCAAAACCACAATTTATGCAATATGGGGCGCGCTGTCCTCGAGGCTTGAGCCAAACATGGTTACGGGTTGTTGCAAGAACATGATGTTTGGTTTACTTGGGTGGCCCGAAGGTTTGTTGCAATGTTTTGCCCTTTCCACATGTATTAGCAGCGCGCGTCTGATTGTTTATGTGCCGGGCGCGTATGAGTTCGAATTGCGCCGTATGCGGGCGTAAACAGCACAAGCCAGCATGGGCGTGCCGCGCGATACGGCCTAACCCCCCAGCGAAGGGGGAGGACACATCCTCGGGCATGCCCACGCCAACCTGTGCTATCTCGGCGGGGGAGGGGCCAAGAGGTCGCGGGCCAGACTGGGGTCCGCCACCAAGGCCGCCCTCGCTCTGCCTCCGCCTGCTTCCGCGGACATCGCGCCAGCTTCTTTTAGAATCCTCTCCCCTGCTGTTTATTGAACATATAAGACAATCGACAACCCCAAAGAGAGCACCCAAGAGGAAGACATGGGTGATAGCACAGCCCATTCCCGCACGAAGCTGGCCGATGCGAGCGGATATATGAAGCCACGGATGCTGGCATGCAAGACCCCCTCGAAAAGTGCTCGCACACGTTGGGGTCAGGGTCTAAAAATGTTCTCGCGCAGCTGGACAAAGTAGTCGAAAATGCAACTTCCAGCGGGCCCATGTTGATCACAAAACCTATCAAAAACGCTTGCTAAAGAGGGGGGTCGATTAGCGGACGCATGCCCCTCCCAATGCATACGCCCTCCTACCTTGGCCAGGAAGGCATATGCACCGATCCTGGGTCAAAGATGGGCCTTGCCAGGATCGGTGCATGTGCATAATTCTCGTCGCCCGATGGAGGGGGAGGGGGAAGGCGGGCGCGAGCGGGGGGAGGTGGCAGTGACGGGGGGGGACATCGAGTCTGGGATGTGGGGGAGAGGAGGAGGAGGCGGGAGGAATGACTGGAGGAGTGTGGAGAAGAGGAGGAGGAAGAGTGGGGGGAGGAGGAGGAGGAGGAGGAGGAGGAGGAGGGGCAGGAGGAAGGAAGAGGAGGCAAGAGCATGGCGGAGCGAGAGCAGGGAAGACCAGACGAAGCAGCCGCACGGAGGATGGCCCCCCCCCTCCCCGCAGTGCCGGCACGCCCCACGCGGGCCTTGTTCAGCTCAGCCCATGCTACCTGTGCTCCACGCTGGCACTGGCGTTCCTCGGGCCCTGGGCGCGCTCCCGACAGCATCGCAGAGAAAGTTCTAGGCCACGCTGAGCGGCACGAGCGGCGAGTCGCTACCAAACAGGCCCGTCTGGAGGCGCCCTGGGTGGCACTCTGAGAGCGGCAACCATTCTAGTACAACACGACTGGACATGAGTATTTCGGTCTTCGGAGGGCGTCCCACGCGGCAGGCCAGAAGATATCTCTGCGACATGCGTAGCTACAGCTAAATTTACATGTGGAGCAGGTGGCGGCACATCGGCAGAAATGCGCTCCGAGCAGTACGCCTGGATGGCAATATCTGACACACTGTTTAACATGAGACCTCTTTCACAAGACGCTCGGGTCCAATGTGTGAGTGCGGTCCACGCGAGATGTTAGGATAATGGACGTCTGCGATATTGTAGCAACGTGTCCTGGAACCGAATTAAGACAACATTGGAAACCCGTTGCGCGCCACACGAAGCATCGAGAGCGCTCCACATTGGTGTCTAATGTGGCTGCTGGGTGGGTTCGTTTCTAAACCGCCAGAGATGACTGCTTTCACGCCTTGAGTGGGAGTCCTGAGCGAGAGGCTTGAACAAATCTCTGCAACTAACGTCATGGAGAAGCAACCGTCTGTGATCTCGCCGCAATTCGTTCCCCAACCATTCGCTTCAATGCGCGGCTCCAGAAATCCTGACCCCCTTCCTCAGGGGACAACTGGCTGCTCGCCCCCGATCCGCGTTTAATGGCCCCGGGTCCCGCTAGCGGGCCCCGGAGGCCGAAAGGGAGACAACACGCCTGGAGTGGAAAAACACCTCGTCGGAGATCTGGGACCCCCGTCGACGACTCATGGCCATCTGCTGCATGTCGCCTCTGCGGCGCGGGAGCCCCGCGGGAGACACGGGCGGGAAGGGAGGAAGGAGGAGGAAGGCCCAGGTCCCCCTCGTCCTGCTCCTGCCCCGTGCCCTGGAGGATCCGACGCGGCCGCCATGTTGCCGCTGCGCGCCTGCGCCAGAGAGCCCGCGCCTGCTGTGCCGAGATCCTGGCCCAACCGTGCCGCTGGCTGTCGCGCGCACCGCCCTGCCGCCGGCTGCTGCCGTGCACCGCAGGAGCAGGCTCGGGAGGCCTCTGGCCTTCCGAGACAGCGAGAGCTCGCCCAGAAGCCCGACCAGCCTTCCGAGAAGCCCTGGCGCCGCCGATTTGGCAAGATGAGGAATCCTTCGGAAAACGGGAGCTGGAACCCCGAGCGCTTCCTACGACCAGCTCTTGATTGGTGAGCAAAGCAAGCGCCCCTAACCCTTGGGGAGGGGACCTAAATTAGGAGGGCCAGAAACATTAGGGATAAGGGGTCTTCTTTGCAGATGTATCAGACGAACCCACCCGTATGCGTAGGGATACCCCGTAAAACCGTATGAGTTCGGCCACGGATTCGTTGTGACATTAAGGATGTGTGACAAGGGTTGCATGATGCATATTGGCTTACCCCGAGGACGAACACCGCCGAAGACCTTCGGGGCCCCCAAACCCGCGACGGTGCAATTTCAAGGCGCGGCCCCAGAGGCCCCGACCCCTTCCCCAAGGGCGGTTGTTCGCCCGGGGTCCACTTGCGATGGTCCTCTGGAAGACTAGAAGGTCACAAAAAAGCGCGGTCCAACCTTTAGGTCGGGCATGCCCTCTTACAGGCGGATTTTGGATAACAAATAAGAAATGATCGAAACAACTCCAACAAAAGTCAAAACACAATGGAACAATCGTCCCCAGACTACGGATTACCATTCTTGAATATTCCGCCTGTAGAGAGACACGCCCGACTTAAGCCAGCCTGGGCAGGGGCCCTGCAAGCACAGCCCGAGCATGCGGCCGCCCTCGGGAGCCTCCAGGAGGCCTCCCGACGCCTCTGGAAACCTCCGGGGGCAGGGAGGAGAGAAGAGACGACGGCTCAGCCGCTCTTCCCGCGGCCCTTGGGGCCGCGGCCGCGGCTCTTGCCCTTCAGCTGCACGGGGACCGGCCCAGCGCCGCGGGAGAAGGCGCCGGGGTCCACACACGGCGCTGGATCTGCCACCGTGCATTGTGCACGCTGCGGCGCGTCAGGGTGCTCCTCCGACTAGAAGGGCCTTTCCACAGGAACCTCGGATGCTCCCGAAAGGCCCTCAAGAGGCCCCAGGAAAGCTCCAATCTATGTCTTTCACTCAACTAGGGCGACGCAATCTATACATATCCACTGCTCCCTGGCCAGGCCCATCCTGAACACAGCAGCTGTGTATACGCCACGCCCTCCTGGTTTGGCCAGGAGGGCGTATACACAGCTCCTGGGTTCAGGATGGGCCTGGCCAGGGAGCAGTGGATATGTATAGATTTCGTCCCCCGATCAACCCTCTTCATGCTGCGCTGCTGCCTTCGCGCGGTGGCGGGGTTTGTCGCAGGCAGCCGGATAGCTCTCCGCGCCCCAGCGCCTGCGCTCCTCCTCGGATGCGAGCCACGGCTCGTGGATCCTGTCGGAAGGCGCGCTCGCCAGCTCTGGCACCCAGTGGCGCACGTAGTCGCCCTCTGGGTCGTAGTTCAGGGCCTGGCGCAAGACGTTGAAGCGGTTGAGGCGTCCACCTGTGAGGCCCGCCGCGAACATCCAGTTCACCCAGTTCGCGGTCACGTCATAGTCCACCAGGTGGCTCTCAAACCAATCCGCCCCACGGCGCCAGTCCACGTCGAGATCCAGGATGAGGAAGGAAGCAACGTTTTGCCTGCCCCGGTTCGACATGAACCCCGTGTGCAGGAGCTCCCTCATATTTGCGTCTGGCTGGCGGCGCGCACAAGCGGGCAGGGCGAGGGGGGCGTCGTGATAAGGAGCAGGCTTGGCGCCTGTGGGCCCGAGGGGGCCCATCACAGCCAAGACGTCCCGTCCCATCTCAAAAGGCGCCCCCTGCGCCTCTCGCCGACACTCCGATGGTAAATATGTGTGATAATGCCAGCGTGTGCCAAGCCCTTCAATGCGACGCGGGCGGCGCGACGGGGCCCGCCACATGCTGTATGCGACCGGGGGAACTGACTTAACTGAACACACACACACACACACACACACACACACACACACACACGCACACGGCTTACGCACGTCCTGAAGACCGACACACTGATCTTTTGGCATGACAGAAAAGGGTCCTGCATGAAACGGGTCTTTGACGCCGATGCTTTCCCGCGGGACGAACTCTTGGTTCCTGGGCTGTTTATTTGACAGCCCTGGTGCCCGTGGCGGGCCCCAGAAACCCGAAAACGGCGGTGATAGCCTCCAAGTCTCTTATCCCCCAGGATTCCAAGACCGTCTTTCTTCAATGGCGAACATATGTGTTGCCTCAACGTTTCCTCAACCATCCTGTGGTGATGGGCCCTTGTGTTGAAGAGACTCCACTCATCTGCTCCCCTCCTCCCCCTCCTCCCTCCTCCCATCCCCGCTTCAGCCGTGCTCGTGTCAATCAGTTGGGCACACCCCTCACACCTTTCGTGGCACCATGGGGAGCTCCACCGAAGGCCCAAGTGACAGTGTTCGCATGCGTCTCTGGCACCCATTCTGGCACACCCCTCACACGCTTCGTGGCCCCACAGGGAGCTCCATGAAAAGCCACGGTGGCAATGTTCGCATGCGTCCCCCGCGCCCATTTCGGCACACCCCGCGCCCGCTTCGTGGCCCCACAGGGAGCTCCACCGAAGGTCCCAATGGCAAGGCGCGCATGCTTCCCCCGCACCCATGTCGGCACACCTCGTACACGCATCGTGGACCCACGGGGAGCTCCACCGAGGGCCCCAATGGCACTGCTCGCATGCGTCATCCGCACACATGTCGGAACACCTCCTCGCAGGCTTCGTGGCCCCACAGCTCCACCGAAGGCCCCACTGGCGATCCCCGCGCCCATTTCGGCACACCCCTGACGCGCTTCGCGGCCCCAGAGGGAGCTCCACCGAAGGCTCCAGTGGCAGTGCTCGCTTGCGTCCCCCGCGCCCATTTCGAAACACCCCCCACACGCTTCGTCGTGCCGTAGGGAGCTCCACCGAAAGCCCCAGTTGCAGTGCTCTCGTATGTCGGCACACCCCTCACACGGCTCGTGGCCACATAGCGAGCTCCGCCGAAGGCCCCAGATGGCAGTGCTCGCATGCGTCCCCCGCGCCCCTGTCAGCACACCCCTCGCAACTCGATTCGTGGCCCCATGGGGATCGCCGACGAAGGACCCCGTGGCAATGCTCGCCTGCGTCCCCCGTACCCGCTCGGGCACTCTCCCTCGCACGCTTCGTGGCCCCGTAGGGAGCTCCACCGTGGGCCCCCGTGGCAAGGCTCGCACGCGCCCCCTGGAACCCAGTCCTGGACACCCCTCACGCGCTTCGTGGCCCCATCGGGAGCTCCACTGGAGGCCCCAATGGCAATGCTCGCTTGCGTCCCCCGCGCCCATTTCGGCACACCCCGCACCCGTTTCTTGGCCCCATAAAGAGCTCCACCGAGAGCCCCGTGGCAATGCTCGCCTGCGTCCCCCGCGTTCGTTTTGGCACACCACTCACATGCTTCGTGGCCCCATAGGAAGCTCAACTGGAGGCCCCCCTCGCAATACTCGCATGCGTCCCCCACACCCGTGTCGGCACACCCGCCACAAGCTTCGTGGCCACATAGGGAGCTCCGCCGAAGGCCCCAAGTGGCAATGCTCGCATGAGTCCCCCCGCGCCCTTGTCGGCACACCCTGCACCCGTCTCGTGGCCCCATGGGGAGCTCCACCGAAGGCCCCAGTGGCGGTGTTCGCATGCGTCCCCCGCACAAATTTCGGCACGCACGCACACCCACACACCCACACACCCACACACCCACACACCCACACACCCACACACCCACACACCCACACACCCCACAACCACACACCCCACACCCCACACCCCACACCCCACACCACACACCACACACCACACACCACACACCACACACCGCACACCACACACCACACACCACACACCACACACCACACACCACACACCACACACCACACACCACACACCACACACCACACACCACACACCACACACCACACACCAACACACCAACACACCAACACACCAACACACCAACACACCAACACACCAACACACCAACACACCAACACACCAACACACACACACACAACACACCTGACACGCGTCAGGGCCCCATAAGGAACTCCTTCAAAGACGATTCTCACAACTGCGTTACTGGCAACTGCATGTTGTTGGGTCTTTCGCAGAACTACTTTCCTTTCTGGTAGCGGACGTCGCTCGAGGGGAGGACTGGAGCCTGGGTGGGGCACTGCGGGGCATTCGCCAAAATTTGCGCGCGACCACCAACACGGGGATTACCGCGGGGGTGGGTGGCAAGGTTCGACCCCCCGGGTAGCGACCGTTACGCGCCAGAGGATAGCACACACAATCTCGAGGCTCCTCTGTCTTGGCGCGCCGCCAGGCTACAAACGGGAAGCCGGTCCGACCCTGGGCCCACAGCTCGAACTCCCGGTCGCCGCCCCTCCACGCCTTTGAGCGCCCCGCCGGCCCGCCCACCCGGAACACCGCGTCGCCGTGCCGGGCGGCCTGAAAGCGGAAGAAGTCCCGCGCCGTCAGGGCGAACAGGACCCAGTAGGTGGACTTGCTCGCGGCGCGCCTGGCCTCGTGGTCCCGCAGCTCCTCGAAGACCCTCCGCGGCGAGAGGCAGCCGTTGGCCAGCCAGGGTGCGAACTTCGTCGAATACTCGGCGCCGAGCATCCCGTTCCGCGTGTCGAAATAGGTGGCGATGAGCTCGGCGTCCGTGACGTAGTGCCTCAGGCGAGCAAGCCCTGCGTCCTCGCCCCCCTCGAAGACCATGACCGCCCCAGGGTGCGCCCGTGGCTCCTGCACGGGCTCCTGGTAGGGCAGGTCGGCCCAGGAGGGCTCGAAGGACAGCGGCGCTCCCTCTCCATCGACGCCTGGCAGCGGCAGCGAGCCCTTCTCGGGCTCGGGGAGGCAGCGCCGAACCTTCATTGCGCTCTCCAACTTTGGCTGCCCGTTGAACGTCGGGGGCACCTCGTTTGCCTTGCACGCCAGCTCTGGCTCGGTGAGGTTCTTAAACCGGGTATACACGTCTGGCATGTCCGAGAGGTCGTCTTTGAAGGGGAGGTCATCCCGGTGGAACAACGTGGATCCCCAACAATACTCCCACTGCACGCCTGGCATCGCTGCCCGGACTCGGCGGTCGACCCCGGTCTCCTCTGAAGTGACCTCCTCCTGCGTCAGCACGAGCGAACCCTCCGCCAACAGCAGCGGCAGAACATCCTCTGGGCGCCCCACCCGCACCAGCAGGTCCGACCCGACCTGCCGAAGGCGCCTCTTGAGGGCACGGATGGACTGCAGCAGGAACAGAGCCCGGATGGGCCCCGTCTTGAGCGTCCCCCAGCGGGTCCGTCGGAAGTGCCGGGGGTCTAGCACGTACACTGGCAGAACGCGCTGCCCACGCTGCCTCGAAGCCGCCACCGCCCTGTGGAGCACGGGGGAGTCGTGCAACCGCAGATCGTTCCGCAACCAAGCGCACACCACCCCCGACATGCCGTGCCGACCTCTGCGGCCGTGGCAGCCACGCTGCCCCCGCGAGCTCGAGCCACACGTACACACAGCCAGAGGGCGGCCACGAAGGGGGCGTGGACGAGTAGGAATCGCAGATCTTCACGTGCGCGGACGAGAGGGGGCCAGAGGGCGCGAGACGAGCTGAAGCACTAAAAAATGAAAGCGCAAGAGATATCACGACCCTCGCGATGAAATCCACCCCTCCCCAGAATGAAGGGGCCCTGGGACACACAATCAAATACACACAAATAGCAGGATTCTCAATATTTTCTCATATTTTCTTGGTTTTTGTCTTCCCCCCCACTTCCAATAGTTTCCTAATTTTTCTTGGGGATCGACGATTAGTTGTGTCTGCGTATTTTCCCTCCTGACAGAAGAACAACAAACTGCATAAACATGCATGGATGTCCGTGCGAATTGCTTGGGTCGGCGATGGGACCTCTCCCGGGCGCGCCGAGCGCGCCAGGGGTGGCTCCGGAGGCGCCGCCAGGGGGTCCTTCGGACCTCCGAGAAACTATGTCTATGCAATTTGTTCATCGGTTCCCGAGATGGGTCGGATGGTCGCGTCGCATCACCGATACATCCTGCGTCTCCAGCGCGGAAGTATTTGGGCTCCGCATCGAGCCGCATCACCAATACATCCGCGATGCAGCGTGACCCTCGGACCCATCCACTCGGATCCAGTTTGGGGGGCCTGGGGTCATCACTGTCCTCGCCCGCCCGCTCCGTGCCCCAACCCCTTTGCGGTTTCTCGGGGCACCCGCCTGGGCTACCGACACCCCCTGTGGAACCTCGCCTGACGTTAAACGGGGGCCGCCCTCGAACGCCTAATCGCCCGAGGACATTCGAAAAACCGAAAGCCCACATGGGCGACTCGACCGTTCCGGACGAGCCGCGCTTTTCCTTGGGGAACTCAAGAGGTAACGAACGATACCGCTGCTCACTGGACCTTTGCCGTGCCGCGTTCTGACAAAGCTTTCGAAGCGAATCCAGCCGTGGCGCCCGAGGGTCTCCCAGGAGGCCCAAAGAGGCGAAAATTAGGGGAAGACAGCTTCATGGAACCGACGGTACCACTGTAGCCGGCCGAGCGGGCCCACTTCTGGGCAGCCGATCTGGGAGGCGTCGCATCTGGCTCCTCCCAAGCCTGGGAGGTCAGTCCCAAGAGCGCCCTATCCCAGACGCTCTGAGCTGAGATGAGCCGAGGAGAAAGAAGAGAGAAGAGAAGGGAGGAGGATGAGAGAAGCGGAGTGAGGGCGAGGAGGAGGAGGAGGAGAAGGAGGAAGAGGAGGAGAAGGAGGATTGTTGTTTCCACCGCAGCGCGCACACAATGCCCCATAGTCCAAAGCCCTTGTCAGGGCGTGCCGCCAGGCGGGGACACGCCCAAGTGGGGGGGGAGGAGAGAGGCTGCAGAGAGGAGGAGGATGAGGAGGAGGTGGTCCAAGACGAAGACGAAAAGCCAACGATAGCACCGAATCGGGCCGATCGGGCACACTACTTGGCAGCCCATCTGGGAGACGTTGCATGTTCCCACCCCCCTCCTGGTCCGGAGGTCGGCCCCAGTTCAGGTGGAAGAAACAAAGAGCAGAGAGGAGGAGGAAGAGGAATATAATGATGATAATAATAATAATATCAACACTGTTGTAATGCATTCTCCCTCCAAATTTCACCTTCATAGGTCCTTCCATAATGTGCGCATTGCGGAAAGAACCGAATTAGAAGACAACGATGTGAAAACCATTGCTAGCGGCATAACACAAATGGTGGGACTTCCACGCCGCGAATCAACGTTAGTTACTGTTGCATCCTCGCAGATGTAAGCCGTGCCAGAACACCGTTCCAGGGGCATCAACACCGCGAATCGACATGATTGCTGAATCCTGACGAGCCTAAACCGTTCCAGAACACCATTCCCGGGACTTCAACCACACAACTCCTTGAACCGGCTGTAAACGTCTCAAACGAAAGTGCGCTGCGCTGAAACGAGAACCGCATTTGGAAAACACATCGTCCTCGATCCGTGAAACTGTTGCGAATGTGTAAAACGAATGCGCGCGGCGCCAAGGCGAGAGCCGTATGCTGAAAACGGCGCGCCCTCCATCCGTGAAACTACTGCAAACCTCAGGCCTCAGGATCTGAACTGGTGAGGGTGTCTCCGGCGAAATACCGACACGTCGGGGGGGGCGCGGCAGGGAAGATATAGTGCTAAGCGCAGGGGACGGGGGAGGAGCAGGAGAAGCGACCGCAGTGCCCTCTGGCCCGCGAGGTCGCCCCCAACGACGCCCCACTCGGAGCGCCCCGAGCTGTGCTGATTCGAGATGGAACAAGAAAAGATGAGGGCAACAGGAGGAGAGAGGAGGTTCTTGTCTGTCATCTTGCTTCCTCCTTGCCGCCGTTCGGTCGTTTCCTGCGTGTGTTTCTCCCTCCCTGTCTTGGTTTTGTTTTTGCCCTCCTTCCAGCGCCACCGGTGGGGGGGGCCGGCAGCGAGGGTTCCAGTGCCGTGTTGCACGGACAAGTCGACAAGTCCGCAGCCCTAAGTGAAGGGGCCCTGGGACACACAAATAAATACACACAAATAAAAATATTCCCCATATTTTCTTATATTTTCTGGGTTTTTGTCTTCCCCCCCACTTCCCATATTTTCCCATATTTTCTGGGGAATCGCCGATTAATTGTGTCTGTGTGTTTCTTTCCCTCCTGACTAAGCTCGGAGGAGAGACGAGGAGTGATAGGAGGAGGGGAGAGAGGAGGACCAACTCAAAGCCAAGACGCATCCGCGATATTGCAATCCACACGCTCTCCAAGCTCCCTCTTCATAGGGCCCTGCAAACATCTGTTTTCACTGCGAGATAGAAATGCCCGGATCGAAGGCAACCGCGTGATAATCCTCAATCTCTCCGAACAACAACTACTGAGACTTCAACGCCGTGCATCAACGTGAATGGACCCTTCGTCCTGACATTCTTAAACCGTGCCAGAACACCATTCCTAGGACTATAACCATGCGAGTCCTTGGAACTGTCACTGACTTTCAAGACGAATGTGCGCGGCACTGAAGCGAGAACAACATCTTGGAACAAAACCGCCCTCCTTCTGTGAACCTGTTGTGAACAGGAAGACGAATGTGCGCGGCGCTATGGCAAAAAATGCATTCAGAAAACCGCCTGCCCTCCATCCGTTAAACTGCTGCAGAACCCAAGGCGAGAGCAGCATTCTTTTCACGGCCCGCCCTCCATCCGTGAAACTGTTGCAAATTTTTCAGCCCTCGGGACCGTAAATCGTGAAACCTTCTGCGGCGACGCGCACACGCCCTACAGACACGCCTGGGGGGCGCGACAGGGAGGAGCTTTTCAGAAAGCAGGGGGACTAGAGACCTCCTAGATGGGGTCCGAGTAGGTGGGGTCGAAGGATCGCGCCGCATCGCCAATGCATCGCCGATGCATCGGCGATGCATCGGCGATGCATTGGCAACGTCGGCGATGCATCAGCGACGTCGGCGTGGGGAAACACGGTCACCACATCGAGCCGCATCGTCGCTGCATCGGCGATGCGGCCTGATCCTCCGACCCCATCTACTCGGACCCCATCTAAGAAGCCTAGAGGGACGGAGGGAGGACCAAGCCGCACTGGTCAGGCCGCTTCACGAGGAGGCGCGTGGTATGCCTTGGTTCTGCCTGGAAGCGAAAGCGGGGTAGGTAGTTCACGCTCTGATTTTCCGAAAGCAGAGGGGCGGAGAGGGAGGACGACAGCACCGACGACGGCACCGCCTCGGGCCGATCGCGTGGACCCACCGCCTCTCCGCGCGAGGCGACGGCGACGAGACGGCCTGCGGGCTCGGCTCTCGGCTGGCGCCCCACACTCTGCGGCTGCCCGGCGCCCGCGGACGCTCTCTGGCCAGCTGGCAGCTGGCCGGCCGCGCGCCGCGCGCCGCGAGCGAAAGACAATCCAGACGCTGACTACCTACCAGACCACCCCAACCCAACCCGAAGACCCGAATTTCGGGTTGGGGGGGGGTACGGGCTTCATATGTGTTTTCTCGATGTTCCCCGACGCCCCCCCCCACTGGAAATGGAAGGCAAATTCGGGCCTTCGGGTTGGGTTGGGGTGGCTTGGTAGGTGGTGAGACGCCGACGCAGAGCTTCGGAGCTCCGCGCGGACGTCTCGGATCGGCGCTGGGCCCCCCGGCGGCTCCTCTGGCGCCGCCCCGGCGAACTCCGCGCGCCGGGAAAGGGGGCCCGACGCGGCTCCGAGGCGTCCACGCGGAGCTCCGAAGTGTACACTGCCACGTGTACATGTATCATATGTGCTTGATCTGCGAGCATTATACGTATGTTTTGTGGACTCGACGAACAAACCAGTTTTGGGTTCAATCAATGTTGAAGTCGATCCCCTGCTCGATCACCCCCCCCCCGCGCACGCCCGCCGAAGCCCGCCAAAAAGGGCCGAGGCGCACAGGCGGCGAGCGCCGTGGACCGGCTCATGTTCCTCTGTTCTTGGAGGCTGGCGCCCCCGCTGGCCGCCCAACCCCTCACATAAGGTCACGAGGGGTGGATGGCGGGCAAGGAGCCGCCCTCCTCTCTGTTGCAGACCACTGACCCAGAGTCCCAAGGCAGCGTCCGACCGACCCCCCCCCTCGCTATTAGAGGGCAGAAACACCGCCCTCGGCATGAGAGCGCCCCGACGAGCGAAGCCTTCGGCCAACGCGCCGAGGGAAGGGATCGAACAGTGCAGGGCTGTTGGGGAAACGCCCAAGGCTGCCAGCAGACGCCCATGGTGGGGGACACGGCGCAGTCGCTCGCCGCCGAGCTCTTGCCCCCCGCCTCCTCCTCCTCCTCCGCCTCCTCCTCCTCCTCCTCCTCCTCCTCCTCCTCCTCTTCCTCCGCCTCCTCCTCCTCCTCCTCCTCCTCCTCCTCCTCCGCCTCCTCCTCCTCCTCCTCCTCCTCCTCTCCTCCTCCTCCTCCTCCTGCCCCCCGCCCTCTCCCGGA